TCAAAACTCCGACCGCTTCCAGTCTAGCTTTAACAGTCAAAATTCCAATCGCTTCCAGTCTGAACTGAACAGCCAAAACTCCAATGAGCGCTTCGAATCTACCTTTAACAGGCAAGACTTCGACAACCGTGTCCAGTCAAACCTGAACAGTCAGAACTCCAATGACCGTTTCCAGTCAAATTTAGAACAGCCAATTTCGAGTTTCCAGTCCAACCAACAGAATTCCAACACTCGTCTCCAGTCCAACCAACAGAGTTCCAATGCTCGTCTCCAGTCTAACCAAGTTTCCAATGCTCGTCTACAGTCTAACCAACAGACTTCCAACGCTCGTCTCCAGTTTGACCAAGTTTCCAATGCTGGTCTCCAATCCAACGAACAGTCTTCCAATGCTCGTTTCCAGTCTAACCAAGTTTCCAATGCTCGTCTCCAGTCCAACCCAAATCAACAAGTTTCTAACAGTCGCATCCAGTCTAACCAACAGGCTTCCAATGCTCGTCTCCAGTTTGACCAAGTTTCCAATGCTCGTCTCCAATCCAACCAACAGTCTTCCAACACTCGTCTCCAGTCTAACCAAGTTTCTAATGCTCGCCTCCAGTCTGACCTCAATCAACAAGTCTCTAACAGTCGCTTCCAGTCCGACTCTAACCAACAGAACACCAAGAACCGTTTCTCACAGTCCTCTGAGTCCGACTCCACCTCCCTCTTCCGATCTGGTTCATCCTTCGAGTTTTCCGACGAAGGGGCTTTCGAACCCCTGAACCTTCCATCGGGTGCCACTTCCTTGTTGGGAAGCATCTCGACCTCCTTCAGCTGCACTGGTCGCCCCTACGGATACTATGCTGATCAGGACAATTCGTGCCGTGTCTACCACATTTGCAATCCGGCTTACTTTTCTAGCGGCATTGTGGAAACCTATCAACACAGGTGAGTTCTTTGCTGTTTTAACAGGCTTGCATATATATAGTTATAATTTATATATACATATATATAGAGAGAGATATATTAACACACATACATGTATATATATGTATGTATATACATATATACATACATATACATATATATATATATATATATATATATATATATATATAATATCAACTTTAAAAAATTGCAGAATTAAGCAAAAGAAATTCTATTTACAAAACACGGTATACCAATATGATATCCCTTCTGCAGCTTCATGTGTGGCGAGGGAACCGTTTTCGACCAGAGGGAACTGACCTGCGTGGCTGAGTCGGCCGCCATCCCCTGCCAGGAATCCTCCGACTACTTCTCTCTGGAGCGCTTCAACCCTCCCGAAGACAGTGAATTCTAAGAGTTACTGTGACGGTCAATAACGGATGAAACATTTCCCTTTGTTCTAAGATATACTGAACATTGAGGAGATTGTAATCGAGATAATCTGAATAATAAATATGATATAAAAGTGATATTTCCTTATTTTCTTTTTTCCTCTGATGTCGGTTTCTACCTACTTCTTGATAGATGGAGGTATATGTCGTAATATGAAAGAGAAAAGTTCTATATTTCATGGTGTATATACTGTATACCTGCATTTTTCTTCTTATGGGATACATGGCCTCTTGAGCAAATATATATGTGTGATTGTGTTGTAAATATGAAATGTATGATAGTGTTGTAAATATGAAATGTGTGCTTGTGTTGTAATTATGAAATACTTTTGTGCGTTACAAAAGAAATCACTATAACGGAAAGGTGTCTTGCGCTACAGTGGACACTAAAATGTTAACATCATCCCACACAAGCCTTTTGTGTTCTAAGCACATTCACATATAAATGTGTGCCTGTATGTGTGGTCACGAGTGTATGAAAATAAGAAATCCAGTGTTTCTACAATGTCACAGCCTACTGTCTAGTTCATTATGTTGGTTTATCTTTAACTCACTAGTCGTGTTCCATTTTCATTTCTTATTATTAATTTATTCAATCTATTTGCGTTCAGCCCGTTTTCTTGATTAGTTACCCCGAAAAGAGAAACGGTCAACATGAATCTCGTTTTCTTTTGTAAACTTGTGTCTCTTTTTCCAATCCCATTTTCTTCATATTTTATTTTATCTATCTATTTTTTTCTTCATAGGATGATAATTATGACGATGATGATGAGGACGAAGATGAATGATGATGATGGTAATAATGATATTGATAACAATGCTAATGATTGTAAAGCTAATGATAATGATGATGATAGTAATGATAGTATTAATAATAATGATAATAGCAGTGTGTGATATATATATATATATATATATATATATATATATATATATAATATATATATATATATATATATATATATTTCCCAGGAAATCACTCGAAATCCGGAAATACCTGACAAATCTGTCTGAGAAATCCGAAAATCCCAGTAAGTTCCTGAGGCATTTCCAAAATCCCCGAAATCTCGTGTGCCATTTTGGATACTGAAATGCCCTGCGCCTTTGATACATGGACCAAGATACAAAACAATTGATAAGCACTACAGAAAACATAATAATATATACAACAAGTAAATACCTTAAGATAGACATCAGTATATAAAAGCAATCAATAAATTCTAAATACAAATCTGCATACAAAAGCTGTTACGCAAGCACTAGAAATCAGAGCACCATTCATAAGCTGTAGGGTATGCACGTCACCACTTTTAATAATATTTATTGTTGACAGTTGTTGAATACAGTACACATGGGAATGGATAATAATACAATATATTGTTAGCATATCGAGTCTTCGTGAAAAGTATGTGTGATGTATTTCACCCTGACTTGGGGCTCAAAGCATATAACCACGAAATCGCGTCAGCAATTTCTGATAAATCCACTTGTCCGATTTTTTATAAGGTTTGAAAGTTTAAATAGCATTTTTAAGACAGAACATTAAGATTTAAAATGGCATTTTTAAGGCAATACCTTTTATCAAAAATTCCTGCTAAGTTTTTTCAGTTCAGGAGTACACAGACTTTTTCGGAATGGTGGTAGGTTTCGTTTAAAATCTGACATAAATCTTTTGTGTTATTATTAAATCAATTAAGTATATTTTTATGTAATTCTGTGTTTTATTCTGCGTCTGATCGTGGTTGTGTTTATCAATCAAACTCCATGGCAACTAAGGAAAAGCTTCTCAGCGGCCTCAACATAGCACTGTGTCCTTCTTTAACTGCTCAGGTGTTTGTCGAAGCTTATGACACTTTTTTGTTTTTTTTTAAGGCATCTCTAGTACTGTTATTGCTGCCAATAAAACATTTACGAGATTTTAGTATTCGTTGGATTTCCTGGAGATTTCAGGATTTCAAAAGAATTTCTTAAAGATTTCAGATTTCTTTTTCGATTTTTTAAAATGTGAAATGCCACTTGATCAAAGGTGATACTTTGGAATACTAATGTATGTCTTAGTGTTTGCTGACTGCTTGTGCATTCTACACATTGATTTACAGTGTTTATCTGTGTATTCTATACTATAGTCTGTGTTGGACTATATTTACATGTTGCCTGTTTTTACCTACGTAGAAGAGTCTCGTGAAGACACCAGGACCTCAAAATTAGTGCCGGATAATTGAAAGGCCCTCTTAGACGAGAGGCCTCAGTCCTGCAGGTGCTCAAACCTAAGGTACCTATGGGGAAGAAGCCGACGTTCCCAACTATGTATAAAAACTTGGTACTCGCCTAAAGCAGAGCTTCACTACAATCTGTATTTTCTGTATTATGGTCCATATTATATTTGACAATATCATGCAGTTGCATATGTTTGTGAAAAATCACTATCTTATATTTAACAGTTATATTTAGTATGTATCTGGAGAAGAATGTTCATAATTGAGAAATTGCAAAACTAATTATCAATTTGTATTTAAATAAAAATAAATGGGAAATGTTACCAACATAAATATACAAAAAAATAACGTCATTCTAGTATTGAATTGTAACTGAAGCTGAATGGCTTCTAAGGGAAATCATGCAAAACAAGGGTAGATATCACACTTTATTTCGTAATAGAAAATATGCCATACAGAATAATTCAGTTACTAACTGTGTTCAGGCAGAAATATGCTTTGTTCCATATCCGAGGTCCCTTATAATAGTTTTTACAGATTCCCTAAAGTTGGTCTTCATTCATAATCGGAAATCGTCTCAGAAAACCTTCTCTTCGATGCGTCCAAACTGCTCGTTGGTGTAGAAGTAGTTGGAGGATTCCTGGCAGGGGATGGCGGACGACTCTGCCACACAGGTGAGCTCCTTCTGGTCGAACACCGAACCCTCGCCGCACATGAAGCTGTGGAGGTAAGATTTTTATATTTTATATTATTATTTTTTTTACAAATATAGTTACGTCATTCGTAAATAATATATTAAGATTTATTAGTGACGGTTTTATAGGCAACGTGAAAGATGAAATGAAACGTGTACGAAGAAGTTTAATATACATATATTATATATTATATATATATATATAATATATATATATTTATATATATAATATATATATATTTTTTTTTTTTTTTTATATATATATGCATCTATTACGAATACGACGTGTCTGTATAGATACGTGTGTATGTAAACACACACCACACATACACACACCACGCATATGTATGTGTACGCGAAGCGAGAGAGAGAGAGAGAGAGAGAGAGAGAGAGTGTGTGTGTGTGTGTGTGTGTGCGTGCGTGTGTGTGTGTCCGTGTGTGCGTGTGGTGTGGTGTGTGTGTGTGTGTGTGTGTGTGTGTGACGTGACGTGCGTTGCGTGTGTGGTGTGGTGGTGACTGTGACTACTGTACTGTAGTCTCGACGGCCCCGGTGGAGAAGAGCGCGGGATAGCACACATGGAAGACGCGGCACGCATTCTCCCGGTCAGCGTAGTAGCCGTAGGGGCGGTCGAGGCAGCTGAAGGAGGTCGAGATGCTCCCCAGCAGAGCACTGGCGCCCGAGGGAAGGTTCAGGGGCTCGAAGACTCCATCGACGGCGCCGCTGGAGGAGGAAGA